ACCACCCTATACCGGAAACCTACTGACCGCTATTCCTACCTACATGCCTCCAGCTTTCACCCTGACCACACCACACGATCCATCGTCTACAGCCAAGCTCTGCGATACAACCGCATTTGCTCCAACCCCTCAGACAGAGACAAACACCTACAAGATCTCTGTCAAGCTTTCTTACAACTACAATACCCACCTGCGGAAGTAAAGAAACAGATTGATAGAGCCAGAAGAGTTCCCAGAAGTTACCTACTACAGGACAGGCCTAACAAAGAAAATAACAGAATGCCACTAGCCGTCACCTTCAGCCCCCAACTAAAACCCCTCCAATGCATTATTAAGGATCTACAACCTATCCTAAAGGATGACCCAACACTCTCACAAATCTTGGGAGACAGGCCAGTCCTTGCCTACAGACAGCCCCGCAACCTGAAGCAAATACTCACCAACAACCACATACCACACAACAGAACCACTAACCCAGGAACTTATCCTTGCAACAAAGCCCGTTGCCAACTGTGCCCACATATCTATTCAGGGGACACCATCACAGGGCCTAATAACATCAGCCACACTATCAGAGGCTCGTTCACCTGCACATCCACCAATGTGATATATGCCATCATGTGCCAGCAATGCCCCTCTGCCATGTACATTGGTCAAACTGGACAGTCTCTACGTAAAAGAATAAATGGACACAAATCAGATGTCAAGAATTATAACATTCATAAACCAGTTGGAGAACACTTCAATCTCTCTGGTCACGCAATCACAGACATGAAGGTCGCTATCTTAAAACAAAAAAACTTCAAAACTTCAAATCCAGACTCCAGCAAGAAACTGCTGTATTGGAATTCATTTGCAAATTGGATACTATTAATTTAGGCTTAAATAGAGACTGGGAGTGGCTAAGTCATTATGCAAGGTAGCCTATTTCCACTTGTTTTTTCCTAACCCCCCCCCCCCCCCCCCCCCCCCGACGTTCTGGTTTAACTTGGATTTAAACTTGGAGAGTGGTCAGTTTGGATGAGCTATTGCCAGCAGGAGAGTGAGTTTGTGTGTGTGTGTGTCCCTGGGAAAAAAAGGGGGAGGGGGTGAGAAAGCCTGGATTTGTGCTGGACATGGCCCACCTTGATTACCATGCACATTGTAGGGAGAGTGGTCACTTTGGATGAGCTATTACCAGCAGGATAGTGAGTTTGTGTGTGTGTTTTTTGGAGGGGGGTGAGGGGGTGAGAGAACCTGGATTTGTGCAGGAAATGGCCCAACTTGATTATCATGCACATTGTGTAGAGAGTTGTTACTTTGGATGGGCTATTACCAGCAGGAGAGTGAATTTGTGTGTGGGGGGGTGGAGGGTGAGAAAACCTGGATTTGTGCTGGAAATGGCCCAACTTGATGATCACTTTAGATAAGCTATTACCAGCAGGACAGTGGGGTGGAGGAGGTATTGTTTCATATTCTCTGTGTGTATATAAAGTCTGCTGCAGTTTCCACAGTATGCATCCGATGAAGTGAGCTGTAGCTCACGAAAGCTCATGCTCAAATAAATTGGTTAGTCGCTAAGGTGCCACAAGTACTCCTTTTCTTTTTGCGAATACAGACTAACACGGCTGTTACTCTGAAACCTGTAAAGCTGATAGTAATTAATATAAATTATAAGCTAGGAATTGTAGAAAATTGATAAGGGAAGCAATAGCCAGCAGAGTTACAGACAGTAAGAAGTATTTTATAGTATATTAAGAACAGAAAGACCCCTAACAATAGTATCAGTCCATTACTAGATGAAAAATGGTAGAATTTGTCAATAATGCACAAAAGGCAGAAGTGTTCAATAAATATTTGTTTTATACGTGTTGGAAAAAAATGCTATATCATATGATGAGAATGAAACACTTTCCATTCCAACAATAACTCAGGAGGATGTTAAACACCAGCTAGTAAATCTAGACATTTTAAAATCATCAGTTCTAATTTGTATCCAACAGTTTTAAAAGATCTGACTAATGAGTTTGCTGTACCATTAATGTTGATTTTCAGTAAGACTAGGAGTGCTGGGGAAGTTCCAGAAGACGGAAAGAAAGCTCATGTTGTGCCAATATTTAAAAAGGGTGCTTGGGGAATTATAAGCCTGTCAGCCTGACATTGCTTCCAGGTGAAATAATGATGCAGCAGATATGGAATTTGGTTAATAAAAATTTAAAGGAAAGTAATATAATTTAGATCAAATCAACAATGGATTATGGGAAATAGATCTTGTCAGACTAATTTAATATACATTTTTTGACAAGATTACAAGTTTGGTTGATATAGGTAATAATGTTGCTGTAATATACTTAGACTTCTGTAAGATAGTTGCCTTGAATACCAGGTCTAATTCTCATGCCCACAATTCAAGAAGGATGCTGACAAATTGGAAAGGATTCAGAGAAGAACCACGAGAATGATTAAAGCACTGGAAAACATACTTCACAGTGAAAAACTAAAAGAGATCAACCCATTTATCTTATAAAAGAGAAGGTGAAGGTGTGATGTGATACAATGTATAAATACCCATATAGTGAACAGAAAATTTATAATAGAGAGCTCTTCAATCTAGCAGACAAAGCCATAACAAAAACCAGTTGCTGAAAGTTGAAGTTAGATATATTTGGTCTAGAAATTAGGCACAAATTTGTAACAGTGAGAGTAATTAATTATTAGAACAATTTAGCAAGATTTCTGGTGGATCTCCATCACTGGAAATTTTTAAATCACAACTGGAAGTTATTCTAAAAGATATGCTGTGATTCAAACAGAAATTAATTTGGGAAGTCCTATTGCCTGTGTTGTGTGGGAAGTCAGACTAGATCACAGTGGTTTCTTTTTGCCTTTATAATCTATTAATAAAAACAAAACTGTAAATACTTTTCTAATATTATTTCTTCATGGAAACAAGTGCTGTAGTTGCCACAGGGATATTAATTAGAAATTAGAGGGGAGATGTCTATGAGACAGTTTTTTAAGATATGGCTATGAAAACGTAAAACATACCTGAGTGTTTGCTTGAAATTGCTCAGTGCTATAAGTTTCCTTCTCAAAACCTTAGCATTGCCAACCCCAAGCATTGAAAAATCATGAGTCAGGCCCTCCAAAATCATTAGAATTATTAAAAAATAATAATAATTTTGGAGTTTTTTATTTGCATTCTAGGGCTGAAACCTTATGGGACCCCTGGGTCACATTTTCAAGGTTTTCTTCACAACTATGAGGGCAGTCCTATCAGTCCTCATCCTCAAAGAAACCCAAACACTTTCAAAAGATGAGCTTGGAATCTTAAATTAATTACTTTGCTAGATACTGAAAATCATGGACTGAACAGAGACTCTGGATTATTACAACAATCGGTAACCCACTAACCCCCCCATTTTTATCCTCTGACTTCAAAGGTTTTAACAGACCACTCTGCCTTCCTTTGAACAGTCCCTTACAATATGTGCTAACTACTTATACAAAACAATCTATTCCACCTTGCATTTAGATGTGAAGTGATGCTGGGAGTTTTTTTCCTCAGACCTGAAGAAGAGCTCTGTGTAAGCTGCAGGGCCATAACCAGGGTGGGGCAAGCTGGGCAGCCGCCCAGGGCACAAAGCTACGGGGGGTGGAAAAATTATGAAAAAAACCTGGAACGGAGCACAAATATGCTTGCTCACCCGAGGCATTAAAATGCCTAGTTATGCCTCTGGTAAGCTTGAAAACTTGTCTCACTCACTGGCCATGTCTACATTAGTGAGCTTACAGCTACACAACTGTACCGATGCAGAGAGCTCTCCCGCCAACATAATTAAACCACCTCCAATAAGCACCAATAGCTATTTCGGCAGGAGAGCACCTCCCGATGACATAGCTTTGTCCACACAGGCGTTTCAGTCAGTGTAACTTATCATGTGTCACTCCAAGGGGTGTTTTTTTCACACCCCTGAGCGACATATACTGACAAAAGTGCTAGTATAGACATAGCCACCAACAGAAATTGGTCCACTAAAAGATATTACTTCACCCACCTTGCCTCTCTATTGTAAATGACAGGTTTCAGAGTAACAGCCGTGTTAGTCTGTATTCGCAAAAAGAAAAGGAGTACTTGCGGCACCTTAGAGACTAACCAATTTATTTGAGCATAAGCTTTTGTGAGCTACAGCTCACTTCATCGGATGCATCGATGTAGCTCACGAAAGCTTATGCTCAAATAAATTGGTTAGTCTCTAAGGTGCCACAAGTACTCCTTTTCTTATTGTAAATGAGTAACACGGACAGATGTTCCCTGCCGCCCCTTAGAGCTCAAGGGCTATGACAAAATGCAACAGGTGAATGAACACACAATGGGTGTGAGGGGACAAGGGATTAGTAAAAATGAGTGTGTTGGCATAAATCAGTAGGCTCAGTGGTCACTGTAGTTACAGGTATGTATCAAGCAAACCCACAACTCACTGCCAAGGAACCCTTACCCATCCCAATATTTCAGTGCGAGGGGCCTTTCAGCCCCCCTGGCACATCTGGATGCCCAGGCCCTTGTCCCTCCCATTTCCCAGTAGCGCCAGAGGCCCCTCACTCCCCATTACCCATGCCAAGGGCCCTTTACCCCCTATATCGTGGTGCAGGGGCCCCTAAACTCCCATTTAACCCCTCAGGCCCCCTCTCTCCCTCATTTCCCAGGAGCGCCAGAGGCCCCTCATGACCCCCTCCCCCATATATCAGTTCCAGGGGACCCTCAACCGTTATATCCCAAGAGTGTCAGCAGCCCCTCACGCTCACACCGCCATCACAGTGCCAAGGACCCGTCCCCTCGTAGCCCAGCCACAGTTCCCTTCCCGCACGCTTCCGGGGCCTGGCAGCCGCAGGAGACTTGACGTCCCATCGGACCCCACCCCTGAGTCTCTCTCCTCCCGCCGGTTGCCAGGGAGCCACTGTTGCCATGGTGGTGCGCGGGATGCGCATGCGTCCGCTGGCGGAAGTACCCGGATATAGCAGGAGGAGGCGCTATCGCCGCCATCTTTGCCAGGAGAACAGTGAGCTGGTAGCGGCTGAGCATCCCGGACTCATCAGCCTTCATCCACCCCGTGTAGTCCCCGTCGCCGCCCCGTCTCTTGGACATGGACGATCGGGAGGACCTTGTGTACCAGGCTAAGCTAGCTGAGCAGGCTGAGCGCTATGATGGTGAGAGCCGGGAGGACGGGCGGGCCGGGTAGTGCCGGGGGAAAAGGGAGGGAGCGGCCACAAAATGGCGGCGGCTGGGCAGGGGGGCAGAGGCGGCGAAGGGGGGGGCATGAACAAAATGGCGACAGGGATTGTCCCGCGGGTTGAGGGAGCCAGGAGTAGGGGACTAGGGTGAACGGGCGGCCTAGCCCTGGGGGTTGGTATCTCGGGTCGGCTGTGGCGGGGGTCGGCGGCGGCAAAAGCTGGGAATAAAATGGTGGCTGGGAAGGGCGAGTAGGGGGAGGGGACCCCACCCCCGGCTCGATGAAGCCCGACAAAGGGATCCTGCGTCCTTTCTTGTGCCGTCACTAGTGCGAACAGAGGTGGTTCCTCTTACTCGAGCCCTGCCCGGCACCTGGCCGAAGACGGCTGGTTCAGAGTGGCTGAGCCCCGTGTAGTGGGGGCCAGGTCACTTCGTCGCAGTCAACGTCCAGTCCCCGTCCTCCCCCCTCCCCCCATCTGTGATCGGGGTGCCTGGCCCTTAGTGGGCCCTTCTTTACCTTCTCCACCTCCTTCCCAGACCTGGCCCTCGAAGGTGCCTCTCCCTTTTTTGCCCATCATAGTTTAGTGATGTGTCTTTTTAGGTTATCGATTTTTTTTTTTACCCTCTGTACTCCCCTGGCATAGGCTATGGAGTTTATTAAATACAATGTACTTCTCCCTGCTTGAAGTAAATGTAAATCTTATTAGTCTTTCATTTTACGCTTAAAATTATTGTAAGTTAGAATGCTGTTTTTCCTAGGCCTTGTATTTTTTTCTTTAAAGTTCATGGGCTATGCTGATTAAATATTTGTAAGGTGTTAAATATTTCTGAGCACTGAAGGTGTTCTTCCTGAACCTACACTTAGGTAATATATGCTATTGGTGGGATTTGAAAAATCTGTTCGTCATGCTTACTTTAAACCCTTACCTCACATTTAAAACTAAATTAGATTTGTCACTTGTGAGTGAAAACAAACTGAACGTGAAAGTAGTGCAAACCTATAGAATACAGGCTTTCTGATCGGTAGGCAGTGCATTCTGGTGCCTTAGTTGCTGCTCATAGCTTTCCCAAGTGACAAGACAAAAATTGATCAGGATCTTTCCTACCATTACTGCTGTTCAGAAGGGGAGGGAACTAGGTCAGGTTCTCTCTGGAGCTACTACCATTAGCAATATATGCAAGTACTGGAGGAATATATTGCGGGGGCGGGGGGAGGACATAAAATGGAGCCATAAGAAGTGATAAGTCAAGGAAATGCTTTCCTTTGGAATAGCCATGAGGCTGGGGGCATGCTAGAACAGTGGTTCTCAAGTGGGGGGTCTGTGTACCCTTGGGGGTACACAGAGGTTTTCCAGGGTCTACGTCAACGTAGATATTTGCCTAGTTTTACAACAGACCACATAAAAAGCACTTGCAAAGTCAGTACAAACTAATATTTCATACAATGACTTGTTTATACTGCTCTATATGCTATACACTGAAATGTAAGTACAATATTTATATTCCAGTTGATTTATAATTGTGTAAAAATGAGAATGTAAGCAATTTTTTTAGTAATAGTGTGCTGTGACACTTGTATTTTGTTAGGTTTCAGAGTAGCAGCCATGTTAGTCTGTATTCGCAAAAAGAAAAGGAGTACTTGTGGCACCTTAGAGGCTAACCAATTTATTTGAGCATAAGCTTTCGTGAGCTACAGCTCACTTCATCGGATGCATTCAGTGGAAAATACAGTGAGGAGATTTATATACACACAACGTGAAAAAATGGGTGTTTATCATGCACACTGTAAGGAGAGTGATCACTTAAGATGAGCTTTGATGTCTCAATTTGTAAGCAAGTCATTTTTAAGTGAGGTGGAACTTGGCGGTACGCAAGACAAATCAGAATCTTGAAAGGGGTACAGTAATCTGGGAAGGTTGAGAGCCACTGTACTAGAGTAATTCAGAATTAAAATATTTCTTCTTTCCAGTAGCTGTAGAGGGATTTAAAACATTGGCTATCTTGTAGACAGTAACTGATACATAAGGCCTTGTTGACAATACTCGGTTACATGGTATATTGGCAAATCATAGTGTAGATGCAGCATATATTGGCAAAATCACATTTTGGTGGTATAACTACATCAACACTAGGGTTTTTGCTGGCATAGATATGTTGGTTAGGGGTGTGATCTTTTTTAAATTTTTCTCCTTCGTGGTCCTAACCAACCTAGCTATGCTGGGAAAACTTACATGTAGATCAGGCCCAATTTGAAGCCCCGAGCAGGGACTGTGAAAAGCACTTGTAGGTATTTCTCCGTCCTTCTCCATAGCTTTTTGAGGAAGAGGTATGCATCTGCATGGCATTTCCCTTAGTGTCTGGTAATTTTTCAAATTCTGCTATAGGCATCTGCAGTGCAAAGTAACCAGCCCTTCTGATAGGCAAATCCTACAAATTAATATTTTAATTTTTACTGAGAAGATTCCCCATCTCCTTTTTGTGCCTCTATGAATGCCTGTTCAGGAAAAAGGAAGCAGAAACTGGATAGTTCAAGAGGTGAAAGGTTATGTATTATTACACAGTGGTATGGCTGGTAATGAGATTTTCAGTTAATCAGGCTTTGCTAGAATGCAACATTTTTCTGTAGAGTCCAAAGCAATTTGTTGGAATGGCTTTGTAAAACAAAGGGACAATGTCAGGTTAAAATTATTGTTAGAAATGCGTTTATCTGTGCTTACCTTGCCATATTCATTGCATATGTGGGGAATACATGCACCTACATTCCAATATCCAGTATTGTGATGGTATCAACAATGCAAGAAGATGATGAAATAAGTAGATAATCTTGATTTGTCATGAGGATGTGAAGACAAATGCAATGACTTTTAAACTATTTAGATATCTATATAACACTTTTTATCTATAGATCTTGAAATGTATCATTTCAGTTTTACAGATGGGGAAACCGAGGCATAAGGTTTGTACAAGATCACACAGTAGGTTGATGTCAAAGTTGGAAAGAGACCCCAGGTTTCCTGACTCCCAAATCTTGTGCCCTGTCTATTAAGCCATGCTCTCTCCTAGTGTTTTTATAAACTGCTTACCAAATAATGCATCTTGTAATGTAACTAATAAAACACAAAGCGTGCCAATTCTTGGAAGATCTCACTGGTTTAAAGCTGTTACCTCAAAGTAAAGAATAACCTACTTGAAATGACATCGTTGATACAAAACATTGTTTGGGAAACAACTGGTAAATGAGATCTGACCAACTGACTGACTTAGCCAAAATCAAGGTGAATTGATTAAAATCATAGGTTGTAGTTTTTGTTAAATTTTAATTGTCATTGCACTAGAAACGTATCTTGTTCAGGCGATGAGATTGCTTTGTCTGTTAATGCTGTTTCTTCATTTTACATACTAACTGTGTTTTGTGTATCAAACTGAAGCTTTATTGTGTTACACTAAATAAGACCATTCTTAAATGTTCATATTGGTTGAACATAAATGTCTTGTGAAGGTAATAAATATTACAGAATATCACTGAAGCAAAGACCTTAGGATATGGGTAAGAACATTATACAGAAATATAATAGCAAGATTTAAAAAAAAAAAAGTAATGTAAACTCTCATGCATTACTGTATAAACCAGTTAGCCAAAGACTCAAAGTAATAGCAGTTTTTTTGTTTTAAGTACATTAAAAGCAGGAAGCCTGCTAAACAACCAGTGGGGACACTAGACAATGGAGATGATAAAGGAGCACTGAAGGATAATAAGGCCATTGCGGAGAAACTAAATGAATTCTTTGCATCAGTCTTTACGGCTGAGGATGTGAGGGAGATTCCCAAACCTGAGCCATCCCTTTAGGTGACAGATCTGAAGAACTGTCCCAGATTTACATGTCATTAGAGGAGGTTTTGAAACAGACTGATAAATTAAACCGTAATAAGTCACCGGGGCCAGATGGTATTCACCAAGAGTTCTGAAGGCACTCAAATGTGAAATTGCAGAACTACTAACTGAGGTTTGTAACCATCATTTAAATCAGCTTCTGTACCAAATGACTAGAGGATAGCTAACGTGATGCCAAATTTTAAAAAAGGGCTCCAGAGGTGATCCTGGCAATTATAGGCCAGTAAGCCTGACTTTAGTTTTAACTAGTTTGCCCAATACTAATGCTAAAAAAAATTTTAGTACACAGGGTAAGAAAAGAGCGTACATCTGGGTATAGTGCTTCGATTATCCACAAATACAAAGTTTTGTTTTAAAAGTCATAAGATACATGTAGTGCATAATCAGCAATAACCCAAATTTAGGTGAATAAAATTAACAATACAGTTTAGATATTAGCATCCAACTATTTGGGTATATCACTCATGAAAAGTTTATACAGAGAGTTGGTTGTGGAAAGCAAAATATATCAATGAGTGAAGATTGTCCCTCAGTAATTGAGAATTTAGGGTAGGTTGTCCATTTAAAAATACAATCAGAACAGAATTGTCAGACACACAGATGAACATAATTTCTTGGGGACAAGTCAGCATTTTTTTTCTTTTTTTGTAAAGGGAAATCATGCCTCACCAGTCTACTAGAATTCTTTGAGGGAGTCAACAAGCATGTGGACAAGGGGGATCCAGTGGATATAGTGTACTTAGATTTTCAGAAAGCCTTTGAGAAGGTCCCTTGCTAAAGGGTCTTAAGCAAAGTAAGCTGTCATGGGATAAGAGGGAAAGTCCTCTTGCAGATCGGTAACTGGTTAAAAGATAGGACACACAGGGTTGGAATAAATGGTCAGTTTTCAGAATGGAGAGAAGTAAATAGTGGTATCCCCCAGGAGTCTGTACTGGGACCAGTCTTATTCAACATATTCATAAATGATCTGGAAAAAGGGGTAAACAGTGAGATGGCAAAATTGGCAGATGATACAAAACTACTCAAGATAGTTAAGTCCCAAGCAAACTGCAAAGAGTTACATAGGGATCTCACAAAACTGGGTGA